CACACACACACACTCTTGGGTACAGGTACTGGGTTAGGATCACCCCTGTATACCTGGGCATGTAGCAAGGTTCTTTCATTTCAGGTAGTCAATGTTGTTGTTAAATGAATAACTGAGGCACAGGCAAGGATTAGTGCATAGTCACTGCCCTGGACATGATTACCACAATGCAAAGAAAAATGTTTATTTCATTACCTCTCTAATCAGTAGATGCAAATTATGCTCTAAGACATAGAGGTGGTCCTCTGGACTTTGCTTCTCAGTAGCAGATTTTTGGGATTTCTTATCATTTGAGGAATGGCACAAAGAAATAGATAACTGCAAGCCTATTTACAAAAAGAAGCAGGACAGACACATATAAGCTAAGATATAGACAGGCACAAACTGTCTCCATAAAGTATAATCAGAATAATTTCTCAAAAAGGCACATTCTAAACTTGAAGATCAGGCTTTATGATTAACATTTTTATATGAAAATGACCACTCATGAATATAAGAAACTCATATGTCTTTGGATGATTCAAATTCTATTGACCTATAATATGGCTGCCGACCTTTAATTGTGGCTGAAGACTGGTAAATATGCCATACAATTATTTTTTTTCTTCCTACCTTAAAAAAAACAAAACAAAACACAAGGTTTTTGCTACTGTTGATTTTTTTTTTAATACAGAGTTGGTATCTGGTCTTGTCAACTGGAAGATAGACACCCTCCCCTGCTCCCATTAGAACTGGGATGGAATTTTTTCACTTCTAAAACCTATTCCTCCTTCCTAAGGACACAATCCTAAGAGTTTATGTAAAATATAAGAGCACAGCTAATTATAAACTGAGTTTTAGAATAAGTAATTGCTCTTGAATAATAAAAACCCAATTTCCACAAATTAGAAATATAATAAGTAAACATTTTTAAGCTAACATTTCATTTAGACAGGACAGTATCCCTGGTAAATCTAAGTTGTTTAACTGATGCTGAAGAGTAGCCATGCTAGTGTAAATTTTTTATATACACTGCTTTAAAATCCAAGAGTTACACCATTTAGTATAGAGAACAGACTTGGAAGTGTAGCTTGTGTTTTGTGCTTTACTGGCTGCTATTCTGGATAGCACACTATTCTCTCTTTGCTTTTGTTATTCCCCCTACACACCCAAACAGCTATCCATTCCATCTCAAAGAATTATCTGATCATACTTGGAAAGGGCTGAGAGATTATCTGGTTTTTCACCACAATATGYGGGATCTGTGATTTGATCTGAACAGCTTCCCGAGAGAGTTGTGCAAAAATTTCTTTACATAAGAGAACATTTTGTGCTGCTTCTAATTTTGTCTGCCAATGTGGTGAACCTGAAAGACAAGAGGTTTATGTATACATCAACTTCTAACCATATTATGTATAATCCAGCTTACATGAAAACTTGAATACATAAAACAAGTTTGGAAAACACTGCATTACTGTATACTCTTTCTAAAATATAAAAATCTTACTTCTTTCACACAGAGAAAACTAGTAAATAAGTTCAATTTAGAGCAAAAAAAAATTGCACAGCTATTCACTAATGCTTTATTTTTTATGACATTTTATTTCAAATGGCAGAGAAACATAAATTAAATTTTGTATCCATTTAATATTCTATGGAAGTATATTAAATTTTCTCATTCAACTATTTGGAGTTATTGTGAAATAGGAAACTGTGAATGTCACTTAGTTAAAACACTACTACTTAT